CTCGAAAAAACGTTCGCCCGCCTGCCTCGTAGGACATAGAGACTAGAGACACTACAATCAAAGACTGGCTACGACTTTGATCCGCTAATCAGTGACTCTGATTCGCCATGTTTGGTTAAATCCTACGAGAGAGAAAGAAACATACACCATTTCACTCTAACCAATAACGATATTTTTTACTTTGCATGTATAATTCTGAAAAAATTTTGTGAGGCAGCCGTCTGATGGCGTCAACGGTACATATGAACTGACAATTAGGCGTTGCTCCGAACTTTGGCGTCGAAAAACACGTGCACGTGCCGAGAGCATGACAACATCGTGATATAGAGTTCTGGAGCATTTCCGAAGGCTCCATATTTCGGAGCAAGCGAAATTGGAAACGGCTATCGGTATTCTCCTTCGAGTCGGCGTAGTGTAAAGAAGCATCTGCGCGAAAATCAGTCGTCTAGTCGAGATAGTCGTTAAGTGAATCGAGTTAATCGGACATTGTAAAAAAAGATATCTTTGAAATATAGAACTGTGCAGCAAGTTTGTCGATCTAGTTGAAATATAGCGTCAGTAATTACTCCAAAACTGTATTAAGTCAGTCTGCCTGCCATTTTCCTATTCTAAACAGCCGTGGTGGACACTCTAGTGTCGATTATTATATGCCATCCGGTAAAGATAATTTAAATAAAAACAAGGGGAAGTCGGTTAAAAGACTTTTAGAAATTAAAAATTCAAAAGATTACAATCTTTCAATTCGATGGCGTTATCGTTCTAAAATCCGAAATTAACAAATACGTAAATAATTTAATCTACGTAATTAATTAATTAATTAATTAATTTATAACAATATTAATTTATTTCTAATATTTATACGTAAGAACCATATATAACACGTGTTAAAACAATTTTTGAAGAGGTCGTTTAAACAATTTATTTAGAAACAATTTATTTTGATAACATTTTTTGCTAATAGTTTTTTTTTGCATCCATAACAAATATTCCGTAATTATTTTTTCTCCATCGCTGCTAGGTTAGCTATGAAAATTAAATAACTAATTTGAACTATTGAACAAATGAATTAAATAATTGAATTAAATAAATAAACAAATAAATGAATGATAAATAATATTTAAAAAACAATCAGATATTGGATAAATATCCAACTGTAACTTTTCTTATGTAACTTATTTATTTATTTATTTACTCATTTATTTATTAATTAATATAAAAAATTAGAAAAAAATTTTAATCGGGAGAATGTACGGAAAACACGAGGAGTCTCACAGCACGCTACGCTTCTACGTACGCCGGTTGGACGCAATCTGATTGATCAACTTTATCGTTAATAACTCGATAAATAATGTCTGAATTGGGAAAGGAACTTTTAGTTCAAAATTCCATCCTCTTTCACTCCTTGAAATATTAATTAAAAATTATGGGACATCTCGCGCGCGCGCGCGCGCGCGCGTGTGTGTGTGTGTGTGTGTGTGTGTGTGTGTGTGTAGACACGAGTAGAGTCCGTCCGATATATATATATATATATTATATTATATATATATATATATATATATATATATATATTAGGTTAACGGGTTTTACTGAAAAATATACTTTATGGGAAACCCGGGGTGTTTAAAATCGGAACGAAAAGCTAAATAAAATTTTCGGAACAATGCTAATTGAATGTTTCCACCATTTCATTTTCCGTTCCGTTCCGATTCCGGGTTTCCATTTAGTGACACAAGTATCGTTCTATCTTTCTTGGCTTTCAATGATTAACAAGGACAAAATGATACTTGTAACGACTTGTGTCACTGAATGGAAAGCACCCTCTGTTTTCTGTGCTCATGGGATAGCATCCTAAAGGAGCCTTTTCATACAGACGCTTGACGCTCATTTTTAATGTCAAAATAGACGTGGTCAAAGCTGACGCAAAATAGTGAAGTTTTAAGATTGGTTTATGGAAGCTGCAATCTGTTAACTTATGCCGTAACTGTAAAAAATTAACCAATTACAATCGAATTATAGAAGAATAAT